CTGCAACATATCTCATTTATAAGCTCTGCATACACAAGGATCTTCTTTCGCTAGACTAGTTCTGTTACATCTGTATCCATGGTGTGGTTGACAAATTTCGTTACAGAGACATGGCCTATCTCTGAACTTCTTGGCCTGCTGTAATTTTGCTGGTTCAAGTGGACTGTCGGTGCATCATGAGGCAGAAAACCCGAGTCCTCATTTCGATGTGATGCATACTCGATTGTGGCATGAAAAATATTCAGTCAAAAACAGAGTATATGATAGCTTTCGGTGTTTGGAAACTACATGTCCAATATGTTCCAAAAACATACGACAAAAAACTAATATAATGATAGAAATATTCAAATTGATCACACATAGACTTAGGCATTTCTCGTTTTGACAGTGAAGAGAGAATTTTGAAAAGAGATAGTATTAAATTAACAAAAGGATCTCATTGCACCAGTCTGATATGAATATAACTAGAAGGGTAAAGCACGCCTTGCGGCGCCGTTTGTTCTCTTCGTGCTAAGGGATCTTTTTTTCTTTACAGCCCAACGAAGAGTTTTTTTTTTTTTTGAAAAAGAGAGTTTCCTCTCCGATTTCCACTATCAGAAATCACCAAGTCTTACAAACTACCAGGCCTATTACAGGCCCAACAAAGAGTTATATTAAGGATAACGCTAATGCTTTATGAAAGTATGTTGTTCTCGTTGTGTTGTCCATTACACACCATCAAACCATCTGTATGGAAACTAACTAAGTTTTGGTACAATCAATGTTGCAGAAAACAAAAGGCATTTCAAATGCAAATTAAATCTGTAGTTGTTTATCCCCTTCTCAGCAATATACAACAGTGATTAACAATAACATGTGTGACATGAAAGCCAACAACCTCCAAATTCCATTCTCTTGAAAGATTGTCGCATGATGCCAGTGTGGACCTTGTTCATCTCCCATCTTGCTCTCCCCCGGTCAAGTAAGGTTGTGTTAACATTTTGAGGATGGTTAAGTATCATGGACCATGATGAGACTTGGAGGAGCTTTCATACACCAGAAGCTTTTATTTTCCTCGAAGTTCCTGCGAGGCAAACCGATATTGTTTTGGAAAATGACTCGAGTCTGGCTAATCAACCTATTCTGTAACACTTTAGTAGCTAGACTATTCATAAACTAATGCCTTTTGTTTGCCAAACCACAACCCAGCTTCCGATTCACAATCAACTGAAACATGAATATGCGATATCTAATACTCCCTCCGTTTCTAAATATTTGTCTTTCTACAGAGTTCAACAAGTGATTTCATACGGAGCAAAATGAGTGAATCTACACTCTAAAATATGTCTATATACATCCGTATATGGTAATCCATTTGAAATCTCTAGAAAGACAAATATTTAGGAACGGAGGGAGTAAATCTTACACGACATGTGTTAGCTATATCATAGATTCAGAACAGAATGTACAGGTATTTGTGCAATCAGTGTGATGATATACATGTAACAGCCCACGATTATAAGTGATCATACACGTGTATGATAAACTGAAACTGAAGCTATCTAATAAGTACTCCCTCTGTAAATAAATATAAGAGCGTTTAAATCACTACTTTAGTGATCTAAACGCTCTTATATTTGTTGACACTATGAGATAAATTACGATGCGAATTGACACTATGTGATGTGATGAGTGATGACGATTTGGGTACTTTGGCATCACATAGTGTCAACAAATCTGACAACACTAAAACTGTGAGAAACTACCTACACCACACAACGCTTTCTAGCATGGCTGACATAGCAAAAGCAAGTGATACAACCATAGTTTTAAAAACCAACTACGATGATCCAACAGAAGCTTTCTAGCATGACTGACATAGCAAGAGCAAAGCTATGCAAATATAACACCCCGCGACCTACCTTTGTTTTGTATAAACGGGTTTACATTTTTTATGTACAGCTAACATAAGCATTGAGGTGATTGTTGTAGCATTAATCTCTCCAGGTTATATGCATATATAGTAGCAGGAAGCAAGTCCAATTTAAGTATTTATTTGGTAAGCATGTCACCATAAACATACAAAAGCAAGGGGGAATCAGACATTAGACAAATTAGATTTTAGAATGAAAGAAGAGACTACAGTTGAAGCACACCTAATCATCAATTATGTAATCTTGCTAAACACAACAAGATGTCTAAATGTTGACAGATCCATACATTGAACATTTATTCGAAGTTATTGTGTTCTAACATGCACACTCACACCGAGTTTTGCCACTCTGAGAATTGTATGAACTTTTATTCTGAACTAAATTATTTTTCTTATGATTCTTTTGTGGCTCACGAATTCATAAACACATCAACTTTTAAAAAGTAACATTTCTATTTTCTAGAACTACCAAGTAACAGTTCCAGCCATCTTGAGGAATTGGGGAAGATAATCCAACTATAACAACATAAATCTTTATGAATCTAAACCTTGGCAGCCAAACTTGTGATTCACTATAGGTAAAAACTATCTTGGACAACTGTCCCTACATACTGGATGGCAAAAGGTCAGTGTGATTGCTATATTGTTTTAATGACAAGAGGCTTTGAAGACAATGCAGCAACGCACCAAAACAAAAGCTTTTTCAACCCAAACTTTGTCTTGAGCTGAACCAGAAGTGTCGCCAAAAAATGAAATCGTAACATCAGGTAAAAGATGACAGATCGGCCAGAACCTTGCAAAATGAAGAGACGCATGTAAAGATTGAATCTCCTGTTAAAATTATATCCAGAGAAAAAAAAGGTAATATGACACATCGACACAAGAAATCATAGTATCTATTTCTCAAACACTAATTAACAACACTTAGATCCGGACATGATGTTATACTATTCTTTAGCCAACAAAATATTACCAATCAATTTCACCAAGGTCACAAGGGGATGTGGTTGGCAAGTGAAACTGAAACCATCTATTTAGTCGCAAATCCTACAACACTCTATATATTACTCCCGTGAGCTAAACTATGAACTGGAATCAGTACAGAGCTAGTGCTATTTTTAGAATTAATTTTCCCTGTTTTAGTTTGCTAGCTTCTTGAGTTTAAAGCAAACTGCACCTATAATTATTTATGTAACAAGTTTTGGTTCTTGTTCACATTGTGCACATGCCTCTACTTGTGGACACAAGCCTTATTGATCTACATTACCAGTACCATGCATGATTTCTTACAGTGTAGTGGCATCAGGAAATTAAGTCTGATTTGAATGCTAAAATACGGTAACTTCACCTTTTTATGCTTGCCAAGAAAAAAAACACTTTCAGCTAGTAAAGAAGCAAACTAATGCTAAAATATGGTACAATGTTTACTCAAACTGTTCAATCCTAAGTTTTATTTGATATGGGCCGTGGTCAACTCCGACAACTTAAAGAGTTATCTTCAATAAACAATTATACAAACGTCACACCGTATCCTAATCAACACACGTATGCTCTATACATTATTATGGCTTTTAGATATTGGGCCGAACTATACTGCTGAACAATAGACACTAAGCGGAAGAAATAATAATGAACACATTAGTTTTGACACAATGTTATGCAGATTAAGCAATCTAACTTGCAATTCCAGAGATAGTAGCTCTATTAATTTTACTTTCCGCGATACCACGAAAGCTTGTCATTGTGGCCGCGGTGGTGCAGGTAGGTGACAAAAGTCCAGCCACATAGCAAAAATCTGCAGGAAAATTCATATCAGAACTTTGGGCAGGAAGTAAGGCTACAAATGCAACAAGAGCAGATACTACACACACATGCCCAGTAGGGGACGGCGTATAGCTTGAGTATCTAAAAAGGCCTTATCACGACGGTGAGCCCAGCGAGGAGGTCAGCCATGGCAAGCCATCACATCCGTCTTCTCATTCAGCTGGAACAAATCGCTGCACGGGTGTAACTGCGATCCTGACTTCCCTGGACTGCTCGACCACTGGACAGGTTGAACAGAAACAGTACCGTCAGCAATCACATTACCAAGCATATGTGACCTCATGAACAAAAATTAATCTGCAGAAGTAAGCACAATCAAAGATCATGTTGGCTTATTTGGCATCACCAAGTAGAATGGGTACACGAGCATTGGGAACGGTAGCGCAAATCGAAGCTTCCGGGTGGCACTGTCCAGGCTCCTATACAGCTTCTGGGGAAGCTGAAATTTGCAGCAACAATTGATTCAAAACAAGATGACACCAGGTTAATCAAATTCCTCAAGAACATGAGCAAAGTGAGCAGCCACAAATTTGGAATCTATGTAGCCCACGTACCGGATACCAAGACTCGTCCTTCTCAATGTGGCCATGGTTCTGGTGGTGCGTCCAGTGGCTAATCCGGAGGAGTGGAGGATGTGTCTGTTGACGATGTTCAGTTTGGCGTTGTTGGAAGCTCACAAGGCCGCTGCGGCAGCAACCATCCACGGAGAGAGAGATGGCGAGCTCACAAGCCGGAGACGCACCAGTTGTGTCTTAGGACGAAGAGCGGCCAGAACATGGTGTCCTGTGCGACGCAGTAGACTGGCCAGGCAGGCGGCGGCGAGGGCGACAACGACACAGAGCGACGGCAGGGCAACCTGAAGCCGACGTCTCCTCTCTGATGACCACCGATGCCCTCACCACCTCCCCTGATGCAATGGCCGCCCCGAACCAACCACCAAACGCGAGCTCTGCCGCACCGCCGTCGTCCATCCCCGGAGTCGCACACCGCTCGCCAAAGCCACCGCAGCCGAGCCCAGCCGGCCAGATGTGACCAGAATGGGCACACACACAGCCAACCACAATGAAGCCTCCACTGCCAGTGACAACACCGGCCCGATCTGGAGCATCGAGCCCCCGCATCGGCTGCCGCCACCGCCGCATATCCACCTACCGTAGACACCGACGCCGCCGGCAGCACCACCGTAGGCAAGGCTGCAAACCCTACCGCGCCGGGCATCTTCAGCTGCGAGATCCCCGTGGCGGCCCCCACGAGGCGGAGAGAACGGGTCCCGCCGCTCCCGGCTCCGAGCGGGCTTTGCCCGCCGGAGGCTACCGGCGACGGGGAGAGGAGGGAGGAGTCGAGGGGGCTGCTGGCCGGAACGGAGTCGTCGCCGCCCGTGGCGTCGGGAGGAGCGACGTTCGCGGTTGAGCCTCCCCGGGGTCCGCCTCCCCGCTGGAAAAAAAGCTGGTACGATCGGGTCGCACGAGGCCAAACGGGAGACCACCTCGCGCGCATGACATCTGGCAGTACGAATCTTAACGCAGCGTTCGCCTGGCTTCCAGCCCATAGTCCTAGCCATCTCCGGCCCGGCCCCGTCGGCCCACCCAGGCCCGGCCCTAAAATCCAGGGCCTAGGCCCGATGGGCTTGCCCATGGGCCAGGATTGGGCCTGAGTTTTGAGCCCACCAGCAGGGCCTGGACGGGCTTGGGCTTGGCATATTGGCATTTTAAAGAAGAGGCCCAGCCCACAGCCCTAAGGGCTTTTAAGGGCTTTTTACCAGATGGGCTGGGCTTGGACTTGAAAAGTAGGCCCGATGGTAGGACCTGGGAGGGCTTGGGCCTTAATTTTCTGCCACGGGCTTTTTAAGGCCCGGCCCTAGCCCGGCCCATGGCCAGGTACACTAGTAGAAAAATGGTCATTTGTCCCGGTTCATAAGGCCCATTTGTCCCGGTTGTGGAACCGGGACTAAAGGGTCGTTACTAATGCCCTGTATCTTTAGTCCCGGTTCTTATATGAACCGGGACAGATGGGCCTCCACATGGCCACTGCGGCGAGCACAGACAGGAGGCCTTTGGTCCCGGTTGGTAGCACCAACCGGGACCAAATAAGCGTCCACGTGTCAGCATTTCAGGGGCTGGGGTTTTTGTTTTTGTTTTGAAAAGGGGGTTATAGGGGGTTTTGGGGGGTTAGTTTAGGTGTTTCATATATTGTGTTAGCTAGCTAATTAATAGAGAGAAGTATGTGTCCTTTCCTATCTCCTTTGCTTGGTCGACGCTACGTACTATACGTATAGAGAGGACTCGACACGCTAGCTACTAAGCAAATGAAGGAAACAGAAAATCGTTATGAACGTACATATGCATACAGAGAGAAGTGATATCGACCTCTCCTTCTCCGAGAGATTGGTCAAACAACAAGTTTTCATATCTCTTACAATATAATCCCCTAATTATATACGAACTTAGGTTCCACATGGTATTCTCCGTCTTTAGCGATCACGTGGTCAAAAAAGAATGCCACCAATTCCTTCTTGAATTGAATGCGATCTGGTGGTAGGAGTTCATCCCGCATCCGAAACACCTAAATTTGAAGAAGGGGATCAATACATATATATATGAATGAATGAAATCAACACAAATGATGGTAATAAAATAAAATTGTGAATACTATTGCTTACACACTTCATATTGTTTGTCAGAGTAGCCCCGCTCACAGGTCATGTGGCGGATGCACTCGCAAACGTAGTATCCACAGTAATTAGTCCCGGCTTCCTGCCATAACCACTTTACAAGAAATAGAGGTCAATCAAACTGATAAGCAAGCATACTAAATGGTATTGATAAAACTAGCGCTTGAATCACTAGAAGATGCGCGGAACTAGGTAGTAGTACTTATTTTCGAATGTTTAAATTGCAGCTTCTTCGACAGTCCCGGAGTTTTTGAGGTGAATTTTTTCCAAACCCTGCCAGACAAAGAAAACAATTACTTGATATCAGGAAATGAACAAAGTTTAATATCATGGTGCGATAATGATCGATTTAACTTACTTCTCGAGCATTTCAGTCATGTCCGCATATTCCCGGGGATCTTTTCGTCTCGAGTCAAAGACGGTTACTAGTCCCTGCTCAAGCTTAATCTCTAGGAGAATATAGTAAAAGCTGCGCACGCATGCATAACTCATCAATTACTCTCTCCATCCCAAAATTCTTGTCTTAGATTTGTCTAGATACAGATGTATCTAATACTAAAACGTGACTTGATACATCTGTATTTAGACAAATCTAAGACAAGAATTTTGGGACAGAGGGAGTACATTACTATAACCTCGAGTAATAAGGGAAACCGAATATGCAAAAGATAGTAGCACTCACTTGAAGTTGTAAGGAAAGAATATTATATATTTGTTTTGATTTAATACCAACTATCGTAGCAAGTTGGCCTCGACCTCTTTATCATGTTTATCAACCTGATAAGCATGCAAACCGCATATGGGAGGGGATGGCCCTAGCTGCATGACTACTCCTCGGATAGCCTTTGCTTTGCACATACCAAATCACAACAGGTGCGCGCATGGAGATTCTACCACCACCACCTCATTAATTGCCACATGCCGTACCTACTAGGCTACTACGTACATGACCCCGCAAGAAAGCCTGCAGCTACTACTTCGAAACGAAAAATAGCTGCCGTTACTTGGACTTGATTGCTCTGTTATTGGCCTCTCAAAACAATCAGCTAGCTCTTTGTTAATCAGTTCAAGAGAGAAGTTTCTTTTGGCATGAAGAGAAGAATTAGAGGCAAGAGCAGAGACCTACAAACTTCCATTGAATGTAATGGTTTAGTCCACAAAGTTGCAAAAGATGATCAACTCATCCACAAACTTGAAATGTATGGGATGATTTAGTCCACAACCAACCAGAAGCGGACAAATGGCGCCTCATTGGCAGCTTCGTGGCACAACCTGTCTGTCTGGCGTTTTTGCGAAACAATCCTCCAAGTTATGGAAATCACGCCCGCAGTACATGCCTGGGCTGCCCCGGTTATTTAATGATACGCAGAGTAGCTGGTGCATCCAGATTTCCTGCCGAAAAAGAAACACACGGACAAGCAGCGCGGCATGCATGCAAGGCATGGTCCAAAAGCCTACAAGCACTTCTAGTTAGTCAGGAGTATGCAACCACTATTCACAGATCACGATATGCATCCTTATTCAGAAAAAAATAGTTACAAGTAATTTTTTTGGGGGAAAAATAGCTAAAAGCACTGCAAGTTTTTTCTTTTTTTGCGGGGAAAACCACTGCAAGTTAGTCAGGAGTAGGCCGCCACTATTCACAAATCACAATATGGCTTAGAGCCTCTACAGTCGGACGCCCCAAATCCGATCCATCAAATGTCCGTGAACGCGACTTGGCGCGTCCGTGGACAGTGACCAATTACATCTTAAATATTTGATTCTACAAGGACACCTCAAATTAAAAATCTCAAATCCAAAATTATTACATGCAATGTGAAACCTAATCTAAGCAAAGCTTGCTCGGTTCCACCGTGACAATGCCTGGCGGCCGGCTGCGCTCCCAGATTGTTGGTCCGGTCGCCGACAAGGTAGAGTAGGGCATGGGACACGAGCCGGCTAACGGGACTCAAGGCGCCGCCGTCTCCCATGCCCTACTCTTCCTCGTCGGAGCCCGAAACCCGAACGGTGCCTGTGGACATCAGATTGATGATGCATCCGTTCTGGGACGAGCCGACGACATCCACCACGACGCGTTTACGTCGTCCGGACCGCTGCACCATACGGGTCACTTGAGAATGCGACTCTGCCTCGCCGACGTCCACCGCCGCACCATGTTTTTGTTCGACGACGCCCATGGTGCGTCGATGGTTTCGGCGCCAATGGAGGGGTTGCGCGTTCACCACCGCGTTTGGACGCCAGACGGTCTGCACCGCCTCCGTTGAGGCAGCCACGACATACCTAGCGCCATTTGGTCGAACGCAATGGATTCCCGACGGAAGGAGTCCGACCACTGTCTCGCACGGGCCTCCTCCCGATAGCGACGAAGCGCAAGCCGGACGGTCATCTCCTCCTCGGGGGCATATGGAATGAGCTTCGGGTTGACGGATCTGGAGGTGAAGGACTCGGATCCGCTGCCCTCCATGCCGGAGGCGGCCGAAGATCGCTAGATGTGAGCTTGGATGGCGGAGGGGAGTGGACTGAAGTGGCTATGGTTTGGTCCGGCGAGCGGATGGGGAGGAATATATATGGGGTCGGGTGGGCCAGCATGGACCGGGTCCGACGTGGCGGGCGCGCCCGGGTACGCCCATATCCGCCCCAATATTTCGGCTGGATATGACGGGTACCAGTCAGCCCAGGCATTTGATGCCTATTTAAGACACCCGTCTGGGTCGAAATTTTGTGACCAGTCAGTGATCGGACGGCTTGCCCGGGCGTATAAGTCGGATTTGGGGTGCCCGGCTGTAAATGCTCTTCTGCTGTTAACTTTTTGATAGAAAATATATGGCGTCAAGATTTATACACATGATATATCAAGTTTAAAACTGATTAGTTGTCAAATTATAAAATACTAGTTGACTGATTACCAGTGCTTGGTTGTCAGATTTTACCATGCTTAATTACTAATCCCCACAAAAACAAGCTTTAACTGCTAGATTATAGATTAACAAGTACGTACTTAATTGTCAAAATTAAACATGCCTAATCACCAGATTATGTGGTACTTAGTTGCCAAAGTTAATTTTTTTTTCTAGAATATGCACAAGCGTGTATATCATAAATTGCCAAAATGAAACATGCTTAGTCACCAAATTATATACTACTCCCTCCGTCCTAAAATATAAGAACGTTTTTGACACTAGTGTAGTGCCAAAAATGTTCTTATATTTTAGGACAGAGGGAGTAGTACTTAGTTGCCAAAATAAATACACTTAGTTGCTAAAATAAGCCGCTTAGGTGTAGGCTGTAGCAAACTGTAGCGCATTTTTATAGTACTATCTCCGTTCTGGTTTATTGGTCTCTATTGTAATATGTGCCAAATTTTAACCATAAATTTAATTAACAAAATGTTCATGCATGTCACAAAAAATTATATCATTGAAAACCATGCTCAAATATAAATCAACGATATAATTTTTGTTGACATGCATTAACATTTTGTCAGTTAAATCTTTTGGTCAAAATTTAACACAAATTACAAAGAAAACTAATAAATCAGGACAGAGGTAGTAGGGTGCATCATACCAAGCTCTCGGACTGACAGTGAGATAGATTGCTCTCTTGCATCGTGTCCATCCAAAAGTGATCCAACGCCCACGCGAGCCGCCGCACGGGGTGACGAGGGTGCACACTGCACAGCTACTTTCCGAGGGCCATATCATTAAATAATCAAATGGCAGCCCAGGCATGTATCATGGGCGTAATTTTCATAAACGTGGAGGTGTTTTTTTGCAAAAACTCCGGGTCAAACGGCTGGGCCACGAAGCTGCCCGCGTGGCACCGTTTGTAAGCTTCTGATTGGTTATGGACTAAATTATCCCATGCATTTCAAGTTTGTGGATGAGTTGATCACCTTTTGTAACTTTGTGAACTAAACCATCACATTGAACACAAGTTTGTGGATCTCTAGTGTTCTTGCCTCTAAGAATTACTTACAATATTTTTCATCTGAACAAATGAAATTAATTTACTAGTACTAGTACTAGTAGTACTAGTACACTTTAAATGCACATATACACTTGTGTTTCCGGCCCTCTCTTTATCTGATTTGATTTGATGCCTCTCACAAAATCACCCAGCCTCTGTGTAGTACGTACCCAGGCCGGACCAGCGGTCTATCATATCCCACGTCCCTGCATGTGTTGTTGGCTGGCTTTTGTCGCGGCGCTCGCCGATGCGGGTCGGGTCGTGGTGCACGGCGGGCTGGAGTCAATTCATCATCTTTCTTCTAGCGCTGCCTCCGGCTGGTGTGTAGGCAGCGATTCATGTGGTACTAGATACGAAGCGCGCCCTGGCGCGCGTTGCCCGGCCCAACCGCAAGATCCAAAACAGTATAGTAGTAGCTGAAAGCTCGAAGCATCAAGTTTGGCAAAAAGGAATAGATCAAAACCTACACAGTACTTCCAATCCGCCAAGGAGTGGTGGATCGCGCTCTCCGACTACTCCGTACCCAACAGGAAGGCGGTGGCCTCCCTCACATTGCTCACCTGTTGGGCCATCTGGAACGAACGTAATGCGAGGGTGTTTCGCCACAAAAGTGCCCCGCCATTTGTAATTCTAGCCCTCATCAAAGAGGAGGCGGCACTTTGGGTCGCCGCCGGTGCTAAGAAGTTGAGTTCAATCATGCCGGGAGAGTAGTCCCTTTGTAAGGCGGTGTTGTAATCCCTCAAACTCTTTCTTCTCTCTTAATTAATATATGAGGCAAATCTTTTGCCTCCTTTCAAAAAAAAAAACCTACACAGTATGATAAATCAAAATTATAGCAAGTTATTTATATAGAAAGCAACACACTCCATAGGTCTTTCATAATAATTAGATCAAGTCATTTGTATATTAAGAGACTGGAGGCTGAGTAGTGCATTAGAGGATAGCCGTACAATACAGAATATATATACCATTGCTCTGGACAGAAGTGTAGAAAAGCACAATTACACTGATTGTGTTCTGTGAGTACATCCTTCGACGGTAAATGGCTCTACAAATTCCAAGATCGATGATCCAACATGATATAAAGAATGAGATTCTCACAATAAATATAGTCAACCTGTGGTTGGAATATATAAGCAATGAAAGTAAGTATATCTTTGGGCAGCAGCTCAATGCCGCTTAATGATCTCATAGTCCCAACACTTCTGAGAAGCAGCTTGACTCCCTTAATGATCTCTACATAGTTAGGAATATAACCCTCTTCACCACTGACCATAAAAGGAGATAAATGCGAACGGAGGAATCCTGAGATAAAATGAAAATTATCAACTTCATCACTGATGCTTGGGTGTAGTTACTTGAAAACTTATTTTGCATAGCATACCTAATAGGTAGTAGACAAAATCTATCAGTTCAGTTATAAACTTCAGGAATACTACAGAAAAGAAGAAATCATTACTTAGTAAAGTGTTTTTCTCAAAGATAGTTTCGAGAGAGGCTTGAAAAGAAAACAGAGTGCTGATTCTACAATTCAGCAGCAGGAATACACACATTTGAGTGATGCCACGCATATCAGCATATACATATTATACATAACTTGTTGATAACAGAACCGAGAGTACGCCTTAATGAGAAACTCAGCGATAACAGAACCGAGAATATTAATAACTTAGCTCTGATAAGAAAAATAAATCAACGATAGATTATCGAAAGGCCCTCACCATTATGTAAAGACAATGACAGCATAAATGTGACCAAGAACCAAAGGAGCAGCGGCAGCAGTAATGGACGATGAATCAAAGACAGATTATCCAAGCCAAAGGAACAGGGAATATAGCATATAATGTAAAAAACAATGACAACTCGCATAATAATAACAAAAGGCAGAAGAAAATTCTCTGGGAAGGAGACATTTGTCAGAGCAATGACCAAGAACCAAAGGAGCGGTGGCAGCAGTAATGGACGATGACCCTAAGAAACCTAATAAGTAAATGTAAACAAAGCTCACAGCTATATACAACAGACAAAGCCAAACGGAATGCAAAGATCAATTGTGTAATAGAAATCAGGAAACCAATCTGAATGTAAACAATTTAAACAGTAGGCAAATGCCACAAAGCTGCTTGAGTTCAAGTTATTCTCCTATTTAATTATCCAAAGAAATAGATATATGCCATACTTGCTCGAATAAATACACACACCTCATATGCTCATATAAAAAAACTAAATCATCATACCCATAAGATATCCAAATCATCATGTTATATATTTGCATGGAGATGATCTTTAAGACAGAACTCAATAAGTCAGTGGTCAGGCAAGACTACCATTTAGAAACCATTGAGAGATTACCCAAAACCCAAAAGCGTTGTTCCGCATAGAACACCAATTAGATCATGGGAACTTAGAAACCATTTAACTTTAGACATTGCTACCTTTCAATTGGAAAACATCACATCTGTGTATGAAGATGCATGGCACTAACAAAACTTCCAGTACTATAAGAAAAGAAATAACACCTGGTTATTTTAATTACTTGTGATTCTATCTACCATTGATTTATGATTTGAAACTGTTTACTTTCTAGCTCTTGATTCTATATTCCATCACAGGTAAATGTTAAGTTTTCTTCTTAATTGTGTAAGAAACACTAAAAATTATTGACGGCATTCAGATATCTCGCTCCAGCGCAATATAAATTCCATCGGTTAATTTAGATATTGGTAAAAGTCATATTTATAACCATTAATTACATCTGATATACTCTTATTTTGTCTTGATATGGAATAATCATATAGAGAGACACATGACGTATTTTCTTATTTTGTCAGAACTGAAAAAACCACTTATAGAGACACACGGTAGGCAAATGTCCTGAACAATGCTTCCATCTCATGCCTTGAGACTTGATTTAATTTTAGAAAAAGAACCTTGAATCAAACAACCCAAACGGTGGTAAGAATAAATTGGGAGGAGGAGCTCACATGAAGAGGTGCAAGAAGAGAGAGGATACCACGGTGGGAGGTGCAGGCCTTCGGTTACCTTCATAGGAGCAGGGTAGCAGACTCATGTCATCAGTGATGGGTCTCAACCTGGACAGATTATCAAGCACCCAACAATTAAGATTCAACCTCGTGTCAAAAAATGCTTGGATAATAGTCTGGTGGTCAGGAAATTTTTAACATAAATTGCTTCGATATTAGCCTGGTTGGAATCTTACCAGATGAGTGGAGATTCATGTATGTGGAACTTCATACGCAGCTACAGAATCATAAGAATTGTCCATCAATATGTCCTGCCACAAAGAACGTTTAATTAGGTGCTAAATAGATGCATCACCAACAATATATAAATCTGCCAATTGTGAGCGAGAAGCCAAGTAAAAGGAAAAGGCTGACAATTGTAACCATGAAATGGCTGCAAGCATTTCTAGCCATAAGGCAGATGATAATAAGGAGGATACTTGACAAAACGCAATAGAAAAATAAGGGAACATCC